CCAAAGATCCCTGACCCTCCAGCACATATTTTGAGATTAGCATATAAATCCTCTTAACAAACAAACAAACAAAAACTTCTACCTACATCCAGGTGCTTTTCAAACTGTGCTTCTATTCTTATCTCACTGTGTGTGTAGGCAGGGAAGGAGGTGGTGTTTGTTTTGCAGTCTCTTAAGGGTGAGGACTGTTTCTTATTGCCTTTTGGCTCTCCCAGAGGCAAGCCTGCTGATTTTTAAAATACCTGGAGTTAAGCCCCACTGGTTTTCAAAACCAAATATGGGGATTAGTCTTCTCAGTGAAGGTCCCTCATGTCATGTGCCTATTTTGCCTGGTATGGGGTATTGGGGTCTCTTCTTTCTCTGTGCTTGTGATATCCCTCCCATTTGCGGTTAGTCTCCCTGGGAGTTTGGTTGCCAACTGTCTCTGCCCCTCCTACCCTGTTTGATATGGCCTCCTCTCTATGATTAACTATGGAAAGTTTGTTCTACCACTCTTCAGATCATTTTCTGATGTTGTTACGAGGTGTGTCTGTGGAACTGAGACGAGGTAAGCCTAGCCTCCTACTCTGCCATCTTCCCAGAAGTCTTTTTTGAAAGATTTATTTATTTATTTATTTGACAGGGAGGGAGAGAGAGAGAGAATGATCACAGTAGGCAGAGCGGCATGAGGGGCGGCAGGGTGGGGGGCGGGGAGCAGACTCCCTGCTGAGCAGAGAGCCTGATACGGGGCTCAATCCCAGGACCCTGAGATCATGACCTGAGCCAAAGGCAGAGGCTTAACCTACTGAGCCACCCAGGCACCCCTTCCCAGCAATCTTTAAAGGCTTCTTCTTGAGGCCCCTGGATTGCTTAGTTAGTTATGCATCTGACTTTTGATTTTGGCTCAGGTCATGATCTCAGGGTGTGAGATCAAACCCCACTTTGGGCTCATGCTAGACATGGGGTCTGCTTAAGATTCTCTCTCTCCCTCTCTCTCTCTGCCCCTCTTCAGGAGCTATAAACAAACAAACAATCAAATAAGGGCTGCTTCTTTAGTGACAGTGTTTATACAGCAAACAGGAAATGTTGGTCTTCACAAAAGATAAACTGGAAAGTTTCTAACTGCTCAGAAATTAGGAAAGACAACCTTTATAAAGCAACAAGGTGATCTTGGTGATATCATAAGCCATGGAGGTATTCCCAGCCAGACATCTGGCAAGTCAACCCCAGCCAGCAGGCCTGGAATAGGCAGAGGCAGCCTCAGAGTACAGCCTGCTACAACCTCATTGTACATTTCAGTTACAACACTAAATGTACTTGTGAGTGGCAGTGGCCTCGGCTGATAATGGATTGCCAGAGCCCAGTAAGAAGCAAGTCAGTCAAGGATTCAATTCTAGGGGCTCCAGGGTGACTCAGTCTTTAAACATCTGCCTTTGGCTCAGGTCATGATCCCAGGACTCTGGGATTGAGCCCCATATCCGGCTCCCTGCTCTGCAGGAAGCTTGTTTCTCCCTCTCCCACACCCCCTGCTTGTGTTTCCTCTCTCACTGTGTCTCTCTCTGTCAAATAAATAAAATCTTTAAAAAAAAAAAAGATTCAGTTCTAGAAAAGAGAATCTTTCCATGTACATAAACCCTTTGGACATTAAGTAGTGAAACTGAATCTGTAATTCAATTCAATTCAGACACTTTTATAGTGAGGCTTTGGCTTTTTTTTTTTTTTTTAAGTAGGCTCCATACCCCACTTTGATCTCACGACCCTGAGATCAAGACCTAAACTGAGATCAAGAGAGATGCTTAACCTACTGAGCAACCCAGGCACCCTCTGAGTCTCTAGCTTTTAAATAAGGCTTGCCCAGCTAGACATCACTAGGTCCATCACCCCAATGCTACCTTGCATTCAAGGCAGGTAGCAAATTATCAATCAGCTTAACTTGGATTCACGTGGCTCAAGGATCAGTTCAACCATCTGCCCCACTTTGACTTTGATGATTTTTTTAAAGGTTTTATTTACTTATTTATTTGACAGAGAGAGATCACAAGTAGGCAGAGAGGCAGGAAGAGAGAGAGAGAGAGGAGGAAGCAGGCTCCCTGCTGAGCAGAGAGCCCGATGCGGGACCCGATCCCAGGACCCTAGGATCATGACCTGAGCTGAAGGCAGAGGCTTTAACCCACTGAGCCACCCAGGTGCCCCATTGACTCTGATGATTTAATTCATCAGGGGAAAAAAACCTTCATAGAATGTAGTTTTCTGAATCCTAAGCAACTCCAACCCAAGGAGCAATGGAAACAGTCTTGGGCACAAGATTGCAGGAACCCACTCACAAGAGAATATTGACAATAGGCTGTGATATAACATCTACATTACCTCTCGTCCCTAGAGGCTTGGATTACATCATGTGTGACGAAGCTTAAATATAGAAGAATTGTTTCAGATGAGTGGAAACTAAAGAGACATGACAACTAAATGCAACATGTGATCATTGATTAGACCCAAGCTAGACCAAAAAATATATATATATTTTTGCTGTAAAAAGCATTAGCATCACAAAGAATTTGGGGAGAAATTTGAATATGGTCTACAGATTAGAAAATAATGTCATAGTAATGATAATTTCCTGATTTTGAAAATTGCACTATATTTGGATAGTAGACTACATTTGTTTTCAGGAAAGACATTCCAAAGTACCTGGAAGTACAGTGTGAAGTGTAGATGTGTGGGTAGGAGGATGGATGGGATGGATGGATGGATGGATGGATGGAGGAATGGGCAGAGTTGAAGAAAACAGGGCTGGGCAGTAGTTATAGCAAGAAAAGACAGGTTTTCTTCAGAACTGTTGCAACAGGGGAATAGAGACCTCAGTGAAGAACTGGGTCCAATTCTAAACATAACAAGGAAAAGTGGGTAGTTATAGCCAAGAAGCAGGTTGGGGGAAGTCAGTGCATGGAAAATTATTAAGAGAAGACGTAAGGGTAGGAGTAATTCTTGCAAAATAGACTTAAGAATTTTTGCTAAAGACAGACCAAGGTTTTATACATCAAAGATGGGGGATGAGGAATTTGATCAGACATAAAGGTAGGGAGGGTAATCAGATATCAAGAGTAGGAAGATTCACTCTGGATTTCATAGGATTCTTACTAAAACTGAGCAATGCAGGGGCCCTGGGTAGCTCAGTCAGTTAAGTGTCTACCTTCAGCTCAGTTCATGATCCTGGGGTCCTGGGATCAAATCCTGCATTGGGCTCCCTGCTCAGCAGGAAGCCTGCTTCTCCTTCAGCCCCTCTCCCTGCTTGAGCTCAATCTCTCTCTTTCTCTGACAAATAAATAAATAAATCTTAAAAAAAAAAAACTGAGCAATGCAGGCTCAGTAAGGACAAAAACAGAAAGATGGATAGGTAGATAGATAGACGGATGGATAGAGATGTGTTTGTAAATGTTTAATACCTGGCTCTTCAGAAGGGAAAAAATCCATGATCCATAGCATTTGTTTGTTTCCTTAGTGTAAATACTCGCACCATAGGCAATTTCAAACTATCAGTGTGGAGTCACTGGATGCAGCAGAGGGAAGAAATACTCACAATTGACTATAGTGAACCATTAACAGCAGTTCTAGCACACCACTGCCTGATGCTTTGTACCAATTTTGCAAATCTACTCTAAGTCTGAAATTATTTCAAAGTTAACAATTTTTAATATAAGTTACCTATATAATAAATGAATTATAAAATTACTTTTTCTAGACATTGGGTAAAGCATTTTTTTAAACCTTAGGTCTCTCTCTCTCTCTAAGTAATGGTAGGCCATATTTTAACCATAATATCTAAGTTAAACAGTAATTTTTCATACCAGTACACAACGAACCACAAAGTTCAAGGTCTATCACAGAGAAACATTGATAGAATACATGCTAATCAAGTTATATAACTAATCAAGCAAGCTTCATTGGTGGCTTCAACCCACACCTGGAGCCTCTGATGGTAGTAGAAAGAACACATACACTGAGGTCACACCCTCCCACCAAAGGGCCAAGGCACGAGGGAGGGAATGAGTCAACACAATTTGCCACTGATAATTTCTAAAGCTACCTGTGATGGTGGGTCAGCTGTGCCCTCTTTTAGGACAATATTTTTTTTGGCCATAGAAAATAGATTTTTTTTAAGTTTTTATTTAAATTCCAGTGGGTGAAATCTTGATTTCAGGTGTACAATTTAGTGATTCTACACTTACATACAACACCCAGCACCCATCACCACAAGTGCACGCCTTAATCGCCATCACCTATTTAACCCATTCCCCCTCCTACCTCCCCTCTGGTAACCCTCGGTTTGTTCTCTATAGTTGAGTCTGTTTCTTGATTTGCTTCTCATTTTTTCTCCCTATGCTTGCTTGTTTTGTTTCTTAAATTCCACATATGAGTGAAATCATATGGTATTTGTCTATCTCTGACTGACTTATTTCTCTTAGCATAATACTCTCTAGCTCCATCCACATTGCTGCAAATGGGAAGATTCCATTCTTTTTTATTCATAATATATGAATACACACACACATATCTCACATCTTCTTTATGCATTCATCAGTTGATGGACACCTGTGCTATTCCCATAGTTTAGCTATTGTTGTTAATGCTGCTATAAATGGCCATAGGGAGATAGCAAAACTAATGGCTATTATGTCATTTATGGAACTCCACGTTTTGTTCTCTAGCTCCTGCTTTCTGTATGTGCTTCTTTTCCTCAGACACTAACAGAGATGGAAAGCTTACTAAACTTATTATTAAGCTTATTACGTTCTGTTATAGTGGCACCTAAAGAGAAAAAGAACAAAAGGTTGAAAGCAAAATTTTGTCAACCTGGTATCACAAACTAGACTTTGAAATTCAGTCAACCAACTAAATGCATAGACTTCTTAAGTATTCTAAGCATTACCTTACCTTTGGTAAGGTAAAAGGTTAACTCTAAGTGCTTGTCAAGTTCTTGGTGTTTTATAGAATATAAAATAAATCTTAAAATCCAAAATCAAATTTATTAGCAATAAACACAGACACAGGAGTCCTACTACAGTGATTGCTGAATTCTAACATAATATCTAAAACCAGAATGGACTGAACATTTTTGATGAATTCGGATTTAACAATTCTTTTGTTTAAATGAATGAACTCCAAAAATATCACATGGTTGTTTTACACTTGACCCGGTCTGCATGTTGTATCTCATCCAGAACATTTCTGATGGTCTCAACACAAACTTCTCCTCTGTGATGTTTTTTTGATGCAAGATTCCATACATTTTCAAATTCTTCATCAGAAAGCTTGACACCAATATTACATAATATCTCTGCAATCTAGAAAAAAAATGGTCAGACTAAGATTTGTGTTTTTAAATTTGTTTTTTTTTTTAAGATTTTATTTAGTTATTTATTTATTTATTTGACAGAGAGAGAGCACAAACAGGCAGAGAGGCAGGCAGAGGCAGAGAGAGAAGCAGGCTCCCCACTGAGCAAGGAGCCCGATGCGAGGCTTGATCCCAGGACCCTGAGATCATGACCCGAGCCGAAGGCAGTGGCTTAACCCATTGAGCCACCCAGGTGCCCCTTTAAATTTGTATTTTAAAAATATCTTTATAACATCTAATACTATGGATATTTATCCCCCCCAAATTGTGCACCCACACGTGTGTGTACATGTGTGCCTGTTATATATAATAATAATCAACTATCAAAAATCCCAGTATTTTCAATTCAGGAATCATTTTGTTAATATGAAGATGAGAATATTCACCTATACTAGCCCATATACAAAATTGCTTCCAACTCTTTGTTTTTGGTTGAAAGAAGACTTGCTGGATCTGAGTTCTATCTCACTTCTTATCACTAGGAACTTGTATATGTCATGTCAACCCCTTGAAAATTAGTTTCTCTTCTCTAAAATATGATCATTTATAAAATGTCTCTGGCCTGTTATAAACCTTATAGTTGTAGGTGTGCAAATGTCAGAAAGATAGAGTATGCATGAATAACTGAGCAAACTAAAATTTGAGCATATTGAAAACCAGCAAATTTTGGTTATTAGTAATTTTTCTGCAATGATAATTATTATGGGAAAACATATTTCTTACATCCCAGGGAAAATTTAAGAAAGGAAAGATAAGAACCAGCAGTGGAAAGAAATGTTAGAATGAGTAGAGGAAATAAAATGTGTGGGGGAAAAAATGAAACTAAATTTATCTTTTTAAGATTTTTTTCCATTTATTTATTTGAGTGAGAGAGTGAGAGAACACATGAGCGAGGGGAGGGGCAGGGAGCCTGATGCAGTGGGTGGGGGCTCTATCCCACGACCCCAGGATCATGACCTGAGCCCAAGGCAGACACTTAACTGACTAAGCCATGCAGGTGCCCCAAAACTAAATTTAAAAGAGGAAAAATATTTACTTTGAGGCATACAGAAAAAAAGCCAGGAGGGAAATGCAAAGAAAGGTTAGTGAATAGGAAAGCCAAAGAAATAAAAGTGCTACAGAATACATCTATTAAACAAAATCTTAACAAAATTAAAAGATCCCCTAGAAATGATGTGTCCTCATGGGAAATTAACAGTATAATCAAATACATTTGAAATTCAGAAAAGCAGAGCTGCCAGCAACTGCAGTTGTACAACAAAAACAGCTCAGTGCCCAAGTGCAGAGCTGTGATTTTCCCCTATCCAGGGGTAGGTAAGGACTGTCCTGACAGAGCAAATTCCAGAAAGAGCCCAAGTCAGTCTTGAGCATCCCAGACCTCCACCTCCATTTCCTTTCCTGCTCCTCAGGAGGCATCCCTCCCCTAGTTCCCTATTCCATCACAGTGCACTGATTTGCTATTATTTTCCAGAAGTCCATCCACTCTCAAGTTAGCATTACTACTCAACCACTCATTTGGATTTTCTTTTTTCCTAGAAGTGTGAATTAAAGGACTTCCTAGTTAAAAGAATTTTAGGTATCATGCAACAAGCATGATTTTTGTTTCTTTTGGCAACTATTTCATAGGCCCTTTAGAGTAATCAAGGGAAGTGAAACACTTTGGGAGTGTCCCTTCTTTGACCCCTGAGTGGACTTTGAGTTCCTTCATTGGGAACACCCAGCAGGCATCTCCTCTGAGTTTCTCCTCCCTTCTTCCTTCTGTCCCCTACCTCAGTGGGAATTAAAAGTTGGAATGAATGTATTATAATTAGGGTAGTAGTTAGTAAGTTTTCAAGCCATCAATCCTTCATCTGAAGTGCCAGAAGGTACCATATTACTATTTCTGTCTCCTCAACCCTTCCTAGTTCTGAATATGAAAATTCTGAAGAAGCAGTTGCACCCTAGATTGCACCCTGCTTTTTATGAGTGCAGACCAAGGCAGGTTGGCCAAGCATTGCTATTAATCTTTGGCCCTTAGAACCTCAGTGGCTATTCTGACCTAGCCGGTTGTTTCTGTTTTATGACCCATGTAGGAAGAAAATCACCTACAATATGAGGACCATGTTTTCTAACAAACAAAAACCAGATACATGGGTTGACAAATGGTGTGGCAACAGGACAGAATAAATAAATCAGTGCTTTCACAGATAATCTAAGACAGAAGATAGCCACGGTACATAAAGAGGGTGCAGAGTTGCCCTTCTCATACTTACTCCTTGGTTTTGGAGATACAAAACCATAAGATACTTACACAAGGAAGGGACCGATCTCTTTTGCTTTTTCTCAACTAAGAATAGTGTTGAGTTCCTCAGGAAAATGTTTTCCTTTTTAAGCGTAGGTCATAGTAGATATATAATGTGAATGTAATGTTTCCTATGATAGAAGAAAAACTGCTCCAAGAATCGTATGAAAACATCAACCAAAACAACCAAACTGAACATTATCCTCAAGAATTCTGTATTTGGGGGCACCTGGGTGGCTCAGTGGGTTAATGCCTCTGCCTTCGGCTCAGGTCGTGATTCCAGGGTCCTGGGATCGAGCCCCACATCGGGCTCTCTGCTCGGTGGGGAGCCTGCTTCCCTTCCTCTCTCTTTGCCTATTTGTAATCTCTGTCTGTCAAATAAATAAATAAAATCTTAAAAAAAAAAAAGAATCCTGTATTTGAGGATCCTGATGACTTTTGTAATGTCAAAGCTCACATTTTAAACAGTCTAAAATTAAACAGTTGTCGATAAATAAACATTTTCATCTTTGTGTGTTTGTGTGAAGCTGACATTTCTTCCAAATCTTTTGAAATAATATGCTGTACCTCTTTTTTTGATCTGGTCTTGAAGAAGTCTCTTTCAAACACTCCTTTCTGGCCAAAGATGGTAGGATGTAGTAAGGAATAGGCATTGCCCTCTTCGCCATAATTAGTTCTATCACTGACACGACGAATTCGGGGGGCAGGAATATCAGACCGAATGGTTGGAACACCATAGATGGGATAACCTAAGACACCAATGATAAAGGGAAAAAACCATTCTAAAACTGAACTGTACAATATAGTAGTCACCAGCCACATGTAGCAATTGAGTACATACTTGAAATGGGGCTAGTCCAAACCGAGATGTGATGTAAGTATAAAATACACACTGAATTTCAAAGACTTAGTACCCCCCCAAAAAGTGGCATATTTAATCATTTTATATTGATTAATTGTTGAAAAATATTTGGAAGATCTATATACTATACATAAAGTATATATACTATTAAAATTTATTTCACCTATTTCTTTTGCTTAATGTAGCTACTAAAAATTTTTAAATACATAGAACTCCAATTATATTTCTATTGGACAACACTATTCTAAAGGGAGTAGCAAGATCTCATTATACTAGAACATATATAGCATGTCTATAAAATCCAGTTAAGAAAAATGCATAAAACTTTAATCATGTCCTTAGTCTAAGGAAGTGATCTTAGCCAACATAAAATAGTCTCTAACTAACCAAGAGTCATCATGCTCAATAATAAGATATGAGTTGGGATGCCTGGGTGACTCAGTCAGTTAAGCCACTGCCTTTGGATCAGGTCATGATCCCAGGGTCCTGGGACTGAGTAACACATCTGGCTCCTTGCTCAGTGGGAAGCCTACTTCTCTCTCTGCCTCTGCCTGCCACTCTGCCTGCCACTCTGCCTGCGTTTGTTCTCTCTTTCTCTCTCTGACAAATAAATAAATAAACAAATAATAAGATATGAGGTGTTATGAGTTGAACTATATTCTCCCCAGATTTATATGTTAAAATTCTAATCACCAGTACCTCCAAATGTGACTTTATTTAAAAATAGAGCGATTGCAGGATGCCTGGCTGGCTCAGTTGGTAGATCTTGGGAGTATAAATTAGAGCCCCATGTTGGGTGTAGAAATTACTCAAAAGAAAAAGAGTCATTGCCTTTGTAATTAATTAAGATGAAGTCACACTGGAATAGAGTAGGTCTCTAATCCAATGTGACTGGGAGTCCCTATAAAAGGGGCCATTTGGACCCAGGCTTTCACACAACAGAACACCATGTGAAGTTGAAGGCAGAAATCAGGGTGATGCAGCAAAAGCAAAGGGACACCAAAGATTGCCAGCAACACACCAGAATCTAGGTGAGGAGCCCCGATCAGATTCTCCCTCACAGCCCCATAAGGAACCAACCCTACCAATACCCTGGCCTCAGACTTCCATCTCCCAGAACCATAGATGATAAATTTCTGTTCAGGTTTGTGGTACTTGTTATGGCAGCCCTAGCAAACTAACAGATGGAGAATGAAGATAAGAGAATTGTTTTGCAAAAGCTCTTCAAATGTTTGAAGGTAATCTGCGTATAGCTAAGAATCACATGGCTTATGAATCTTCTAACACTTGCGTAGTCTGTGTAACATTCAATGTTAAGGGAATCATCTTACTCGGACCATTATTAACAATAGTTCCATTCAGCCTGCATTTATTGAGACGAGACCTCCTGGATGGTTCAAACACAGAACTGAATGAAAGGTCCTAGGCTTTGAGAAACAGCCTAGTGAAGGTAGCAGCTGGGGGCAATACAGGGACAGACAAAGGATACTTCTATGTTTGCTGATCGTACTTCGAAAACTCAGCAAATAATGTGACATACTCACAAGTAGAAGGAAGAGCCCCTACAACCGCATTGATCTCAGAAGAAGTTGTCTTATAGTGACTAGAAACTTTATCACTTGGCCTCACAAGTGTCCGGAGAGTCTTTTCTGAGCAACCTGGTTCCTTTAAGACAATATCTTCTGGCTTTATCAGGAGAATTGGTTCAGATTCTTCAACATTAGTCTCATGATTTGCACAAGCTGGTTTTCTACCTTTAAGCAAAGAGTTGAGGGTGGGGGGCAAATTACAGGAAGAAATCACTATTGGGTGCTTGCTGCTCTGCAACAAAATCAGCTTTCCTGGTTAGTTTCTCCTTACTGGTAGAGACTGAGACTGAGCTGGTGGTCACTGATGCCAGCACGCCACTGTGGAAAAGCAAGGGCAGGCCAATGTCATACACCAGGAAATATGAACTTGGCCTGTTTCTTCTCACCACTCCACCCACTTTAGTCTAGAATAAAGCTTTTACATCTAAGAGACCAGATGAAAAAATGAAACCTATTTTTCCCTTTAAAAAAAAATTAAAGTTTATTTTTATATTTAACTTGAACTACAGGATTACCAGAGTTGCTTCCAGAGTTGTGCCCCAAGGAGAGACTGGAGAAGACACATGTGGAGTTGTAAATTCCACACATACCTGATGGTGACGGGGAGCCCCACGTAGTGCAATATTTGGCAAGGCAATGAGAACATAGCGTGAGCTCAGGAACCGATTATATAAATAACCTTCTTCACATCGGTGTATAAAAGAAAACCCTGAGGTAAAACTCAAATTGTAAGACTCTGTCCTTTTGAAGATCTGCTTTGTTGAGTCATTCTGAAATTTAGGAGTAAATTCCTGGCACACCTTTTTCACAGAGCTGGGAGCTACACCGCTATCACTAGAGGGCGCTCTGGTCTTTCAATCTGTTGACCAACGCTCGGGGTTTGGGGAAAGCCCAAGCAAGGGTTACAAAGGCAAATTGGTGCCCCAGTATCCGGTTGGGGTGGGAACTGTGGCAAACCAGAAAAGACATGCCTATCTAAAATCTGGAGCCCCCATTCAGCTCCTGGCAATCTGCCATGAACACATGCAGGCGTTGTGTTCCAAAACCTCTAATCTCCTCCCTGCGCTCCACAAAAAGCAGAAATCTGGACCAGTATGAGAAACAGTGTCTCGGAAAACTGTTTGAAAGCCACTGCATTAGCATACTTACCCCTTTTGGGGCGCCTGGGTGGTTCAGTGGGATAAAGCCTCTGCCTTTGGCTCAGGTCATGATCCCGGGGGTCCTGGGATCGAGCTATCTGCTTGGCAGGGAGCCTGCTTCCCCCTCTCTCCCTCTGCCTGTCTCTCTGCCTACTTGTGATCTCTGTCTGTCAAATAGGTGAATAAAATCTTTAAAGAAAGAAAGAAAGAAAGAAAGAGAGAAAGAAAGAAAGAGAGAAAGAAAGAAGAAGAAAGAATACTACCCTTTCCTCTGAAAGTCAACAGTAAGTGGAATTGGATATGAGAAAATTCCTGGCAAAACTTTCCTGAGCCCCTAACTGAACCACTGGCCACTGTCTTAGAAGATGGAAAATCTCAAGGACTCCATTGAAAGTGACTGATGAAGTCAGAACCCAAACACTAGGAACAATTTGAAAAATGATCTGGTTTGAAAACAGGCTTCTACTTTCCCCCACTACTCGAAGAGTTGTGCCAAGAAGAAAAAACTCTATCACCCTTTTGTATTTCTGAAAGGACTAGGGTAGAATTGTTTTCTATAAAATCTTCATTAGGCAAACAAAATCCCCCACTGTCCTAGCTGCTCGAACAGAAAGGCCATCTCAGAAACTGATAAGGGCTCCCATCATAAATAAGGCCCCAAATTTGGTTTTGGCCTTACAGAAAGGCATGACCCAGGAATAAAAGTAAAAACAGTAATAACTTCACTTTTTAGAGGAGAATATTCCAGAGGAGATAGAAATGTAAACAATCTTTTTAAAAAGTTAATCCTCTCTAATAATCAAAATTTGAACATTAAAGTGAACAAAGTGTCATAATAATAACTAAATTACAAGAATGTTTGGAATAATACTCAGTGGTAGCAAAGTTAGAATAAAACCTCACAGATATGGCTGATAAAATTGCAAATTGGTACAATCATTTAGAAAAGCAAAATGAAAATATAGTTACTTTTGGGACAATAATAACATTCATAAGAAATTAGATATAATTAGAAACAAAGATTTTTGAGAGATGATAATCATTATAGCGTTACTGATATTACTTTTAAAATATCTGGAAATAACCTAAATTTCAAAGAGTGAGGAAATAGCTTAGTAATTCATCTTACATCTGCATGAGGGAACTGAAAATGAAGTTCATAAAAAAGTTTACCATAAAATTATTTCTTAATTCCATAGAAATTTGAAAACTAAATTTTAAAAAGCCAAATAAAAATGGTACATTCACTGTGATTTTATATATAGAGAGTACCTCTATGTGTGTATGTATACACACACACACACACACACACACACACACAGAGAGTTAGTGATGCAGGAAGTCAATGTGGAAGCAGGAAAATATTTGAATAAAGGTAAAGATTGCTTTTCTTTCTCTTACAAAATGCAAAAGAATAAATTTTCCTAGTCAAATCTTATATTACTATTGAGTTTTCCTGGGGGAGGGGAGCTAATTACTCTAAGACAATGGTTTTTCAAACAGCTTTCTGAGGAACTATCTTTCATATTTTGGATTTTGGTGTAAACTGTTTTGCTTATAATTTTTTTTTTTAAGAGGTTACTGCATGGTTCCAAATTCAAAGACATAAAACACATAGATTAAAATGTGAGTCTTGCTGCCACCCTGTCCACTAGTTACCTGGTTCCCCTTAAACATCATCAAATTCTTTCCTGTCCTTCCACAAATATTCTATGCATAAACAAGCAAATATGTATCTATGTGCATAGTTTTTAAAATATAAAATATTAAAGTTGACAAGAGTCAAGCTCCTAGAAAACTGAAAATATAAAAGCCCATGTAAGAATTCAGCAAACTTTCAAAAATTAAATACCTTTAATAATGACCCTCTCTTCATGCTCTTTAAGAGGCATTCTATCTTTCCAGTTAAGAAAATTTGCAAATTCTAGGTAGTTAATCTGCCCATCATTATCCACATCACAGTAGTCAAAGAGCTGGTCCAGGAGCTTCTCATCTAAGTGTAAGCTGACCTGTTCACAAGCCTCCCGAAGCTCGGCTTTATCTATCACCCCATCTCCATTCTGTTAGACACAAAACAGAAAAAGATGAAGCAAGCATTGTCTTTAAGAGCAGAGTATGCAACATCTATTATCTCATTTAAGAAAAAAAGAAAGAGATCACATAAATTCAAAGAATTTGTCTTATTTTTTACATAAGAGCAGTCAAATATTAAGCGAGATCCTCATTGTGTAAACCTGATATGCACACAGTAATTTGAACCCTGGTTGAAGCAGGATGTGACACAGAACCTTTGTTCATTCTACTTTAACATTTTTTTCTTTAAATCATGCTGTTTACACTGTGGCAGGGCAGGTGTAACCATGATTTGTGCTTGACATTTCATTTAACCAACATTGTGAACTCTTGATAGTTTTCTACATTTTCCCATGCTTTCAAAGTTTTTAACACCTCTGGTGTTCCAACTGAGCACTAAATGGTCCTCCATTCTTTTGTCTGGTAATGAGGAGAAATTGGGGAAGTAGTTATAGGCCAAACACAGGGAGGTAGATTCGAAGACCATTGCATGTTTGTTGTCAACTCTTCTGTGGGCAAGAGGGACATGCTAGCAATCTGGCCACAGTGTAACAATTAGCACTAAAATTCATCCTGGTATGGGGAGCAGGGGAAGTTCCACCTTCTTCCAGACAACAGTTAAAGACAGGAGCACCTACACTAAGTGAAAAAGGAGGGAAATTTATGAAGGCTTTGGGCAGGAGCTAGTTGGTTCACTTGGGAGATAAAAAGGTAGTCTATGTCCAAACCACTCTGAACACTCCCAATCTCATCTGATCTTGGGAGCTTAGCAGGGTCAGGCCTGGTTAGCACTTGGATGGGAGACAAAGGGGCCAAACACATAATGCTTGCTGTTTTAAGATTGTATTGATTTATTTGAGAAAGAGAGAGAGCGCACAGCAGCAGAGAGGGGCAGAGAGAGAAACAGGCTTCCTGCTCAGCAGAGTCATGCTCCATCCCAAGACCCAAGATCATGACCTGAACTGAAGGCAAACACCTAACAGACTGAGCCACCCCGGTGCCCCACATGACGCTTGTTAAGAAAGAATGGCAAGACCTGAGGTGTCTTACTCCTCAGCCCGTCCTGGAGTCTATCAAACCTAAACCCACTTGGAGATGATAGTGAAAGATCTGAGTATTTTTGCAGTGGGTCCCAGCTACTATTTTTTTTTTTAAGATTTTATTTATTTATTTGACAGATCACAAGTAGGCAGAGAGGCAGAGAGAGAGGAGGAAGCAGGTTCTCCACGGAGCAGAGAGCCCGATGCGGGGCTCGATCCCAGGACCCTGGGATCATGACCTGAGCTGAAGGCAGAGGCTTTAACCCAGGGAGCCACCCAGGAACCCCCCGGCTGCTATTAAGGGAGCTCTGGCCTTCTCAGAGAAGTTTCTGAGACAAACTTCCAAGAGAAAAGATAAGTGACTCATTGACTAGTGTTCAGCTCTTATGCTCAGGATTAGTTTTAAAATGCTTATGAAGGTGATCCCTGGAGAATGAGCAACTCACCCAACAAATTCTAGATAAATTCCTGCAGTCAGATCCGTAGGCCTGGAAAACATCCCTGATGCTTATATTGAAACAGAATGAGAATTTTAAACATATTATCTTGACAAAGGGTTGCAAAGGCCTTGGACTATAGACTCCTTTATGAAAACTTCTGCTACAAGCCCAAGTCAACCAAAAATGCAAACTCCATAGCCCTAGCTGAAAAGCTACATGGGATATGGCAGTTGAATCAAGAAGTCCTCAAAACTGTAATAGATGGTACCAACAATGATGGCTTCATTGCCCAATATAGCAATTTGTATGGATTGAAAACATGATAAGGGTCTATTCTCTGCTCATTCTCAGATAGAAATCAAGCTTCTGACTGAACTTAAACCATCCATATTACCACCTTTGCTGCCTGGATCCACTGTTGTACCAGACATGGTAACACACTAATCATTACAAAGTAAATCACACTATGTTTTGGAGGCAAAGGCTACCACACCACATGCCATACTTGTGACTCCTGACAAAAGTTGGCCAGTTTGTCTCATGGGGGGAGGACACATCCACATAAGACATTGCCTCCATGCTCCTGGCATACTGACTACATGGAACCTTTGTCCCCTTTCAAAGCTATTGGTGGTGCATCATACTGATGACACATTTTCAATCTATGGAATTGCTATCCCAGTTTTATCAGCCAACTCCAAGCATAAGCGTATGGCCCATGAAATTAATCTAACTCATGTGTTTTGCTTTCTGGACCATTCTCCGCCTGACAATGATGTGTCTTACAGCCAAAGTGTTACTCAACAATGAGCTGTCAGTCAAGGTATTCAATGAACTTTTCCTACACCCAGCCATCCACAGACACCTGATAGGACTGAGCTTTAGAAAAAACTTTTCAAAAATTGTCTATCTTCCTCACCAGCTTCTGGCTCACACAACCAGTTTTATCACTGAATATACCTGTCTCCAAAAAGGAATAATCTTATCTCAGCTCCTTCCTGGATAATGATTAGAATAAAAGGAATTGATCCTCAACTCTCTAGGCAACTAATCTTTGACAAAGCAGGAAAGAATGTCCGAGGGAAAAAAGACAGTCTCTTGAACAAATGGTGTTGGGAAAACTGGACAGCCACATGCAGAAGAATGAAACTGGACCATTTCCTTACACCATACACAAAAATACTCAAAATGAATGAAAGACCTAAATGTGAGACAGGAACCCATCAAAATCCTAGAGGAGAACACAGGCAACAACTTCTGTGACCTCAGCCATAGCAAGTTCTTGCTAGACACATCTCCAAAAGCAAGTGAAACAAAGGCAAAAATGAACTATTAGGACTTCATCAAGACAAAAAGCTTTTGCACAGCAAAGGAAACAGTTAACAAAACCCAAAGACAACCAACAGAATGGGAAAAGATATTTGCAAATGCCTTATCAGATAAAGGGCTAGTATCTAAAATCTATAAAGAACTTGTCAAACTCAATACCCAAACAACAAATAATCCAATCCAGAAATGGACAGAAGACATCAACAACAATTGCTCCAAAGAAAACATCCAAAAAACACATGAAAAATGCTCCACATCACTTGGCATCAGGGAAATGCAAATCAAAATTACAATGAAGTACCTCCTCACACTAGTCAGAATGGCTAAAATTAACAAGTCAGGAAACAACAGATGTTGGCAAGTATGTGGAGAAGAGGGAACCCTCTTACACTGTTGATGAGAATGCAAGCTGGTGCAGCCACTCTGGAAAACAGTATGGAGATTCCTCAAAAAGTCAAAAATATAGCTACCACCTGATCCAGCAATTGCACTACTGGGTATTTATGTCAAAGATACAAAGGTAGTATCCAAAGGGGCACTTGCACCCGAATGTTTATAGCAGCAATGTCCACATTAGTCAAACTATGGAAAGAGCCTAGATGTCCATCAACAGATGAATGGACAAAGAAGATGTGGTATAGATATACACAGTGGAATACCACTCAGGCATCAAAAAATGACATCTTGCCATTTGCAATGACATGAATGGAACTAGAGGGTGTTAGGCTAACAGAAATCAGCCAATCAGAGAAAGACAATTATCATAGGGTTTTACTCTTATGTAGAATTTGAGAAACAAGACAGGATCATAGGGGAAGAGAGGAAAAATAAAACAAGATGATAACAGAGAGGGAGACAAACCATAAGAGACTTTTAATCCTAGGAAACAAAGTGAAGGTTACTGGAGGGGAGGGGGGTGGAGGATGTGGTAACTGGGTGATGGAAAAAAATAAAAAAGATATTAAAATTTTCAAAAAAATAATAAAAGGAATTGAAATAATATACTTATTTTGAAAATTTGGGACCCTACTGTGACCACTTGGTGACATGATGAGTCTTTTTATTTCCTCTCTAGATTTTAAATTTCCTAAGTGGAAAGACTGCACATTATCTGGAATAATGTTTGATGTACACTGAGTGTTCAATAAATAGCAGAATTAATCCTCTAAGCCAAGAAGATTCATTTAGGAAATCATGGCTTACTTGTTCTGTTTTTTCTTGTGTTTTTCATTAAAGTAAATCTGGGCATTCAATAATAAAAGATTCAAATAATCAAAAATTATCCTACAGCTGTACTAGAAGACCCACATCTTATTACCCTCTCAGAAAAAAGGAAAAAGAAAAAGCTCCTAGAGGACACTGAGCACTGCATTGTGCATATTAAAAGTTAACTATTTAAAAGGTATATCAACATTAAATAATTCTCAGTAATTTCTTCCCTGCTTAATTTAATTTTATCATAAAGAAAATGCCTGGTGGTTCACTAAGATAATCAACAGCTATTAAGATGATCGTCTTGCCTATAATTACATTTAAAGTGAAGAATTTTTAAAAAGCAGAGCACTATGTATTGTGGTATGTTCTCTGATTCATATCACAGCTATCTAAATTTATCCCGCTATCATCTATCCTCTTTGTAAGATACTTGTATTTATGTAAAGCTTAAAATGTACTTATTTGAGCTTACATATTTTAATTCTGAAGATTCATTTTTAAATTACCTGTAAATAGCAATTGGTCTCTATTAAAAACCAGAGAAACTGTTGAATACTTACATTTTCTTTAAACACAACTTTGTGAGACATATAGTGAGTGACTGATTGGTTTTTGTCCCTACATAATTGGTACAAACCTAAATGAGATATTTAACCCACTTTTTATTCATCAGTACAATACATGCACACAGGCCTCTAATCTAAAAACAAATAAAATGAATGGATTAAACTGAATAAGCCAATGAGTAATCAAGATTATTTTAAGATAAAAAATGTGAAGTATGACTTTTCTAAAATTGTGCTCAACATTGGAAGGGGGATACAAATATTATCTTTTCTTTTTGAAATAAAATAAAATTATTCTACTTTTTTTCCCCTTCTCATATCAAGATTATGATGCACTGCATTATTGCAGGTTTATTTATGAGCTTTTATTTGTTTAAATTAGACTCATTCTAAAGTAGTTTCAGGCTGCCTAGAAAAATAAGTACCATTAAACAGAGCCTCAAAATTGAGGAAATTGAGGACAAAGAGAAAATCAAGATGAAATAAAATAAGAAGCACACAAAATGTGTGCTGTTAAGATCATGTTCACAAACTAGATGTGTTTTGTTGAATTGGCTCTGAGCTTCCTGGTGGCCAAGTCAAAAAAGTCCTCACAATCAGTACAAAATTCATGCTGCTTATGAGGTAAAAACAAACCAGATACATAAATGAAGCATACTTATTTCCTTTAGGAAGACTGGGTTTCTTAATAAAGAGGATAAATGTGACAAAAATAAACAACACCATGGGCATAGAAACAAAATTGTGTGATGTTTCACAAGAGGTTTATACAATAGTGTACCTTACCATAGCTAAAGGCAGTGCAGCTTTGTGAAAGCAAATCTGTGATGGCCTAAAATGGTGTGAGGTAATTATGCAGGCCCAGATTGATCTGACTTTATGAAAGGACACAATTTAGAGTATGTTGAAAATGGAATCATCTTACACTCTCAAAACTGAAACTACATCCTGCTCCCCCTGGGGAGAAGCATTCCAAGCTGGACTTGGATGCAGACTGTCAGCACTACGTGTACATATTCAGCTTTAGGTATAGACGGCCTAGACCCAGGAGTCTTCCCTGAGGATCTATGATGCCTGCCCCTGCCCCACCACCACCCTCTTGCCCCCAGCACACCACAGTTCATTCTGCCACGGTGGTTCTCAAGTTGTATCAGAACGGCCTGCAGAGCTTGTTAAAACACAATTGCTAGGCCCCAACCTGGAGTTCCCAATTCAGTAGGTGGGCCTTAGAATGGACATTTCTAACAGGTTCCCAAGTAACCCTGGTGATGATAAAAGGACCACACTTTGGCAACCACTGATCTACTCCAGGGGTCAGCAAACTTTTACTGTCAAGGGCCAAAAGGCAATATTTTAGGTTTAGCAGGCCATTCAGTCTCTGCATTTGTAGTGCAAAAGCAGCCATAGAAAATACTTAAAACAAATTGTCATGTAAAACTATTTACAAAGACAGGTGGTGGGCTGGATTTGACTCTCTCCAGCCACAGTCTGCTGACCCCTGATCTACACCAACCTGCCAGGATCTATAAGTCCAAAAAACTCCATTCAAATACTGGCCTTATCATAGTGCCTGAAGGCTGCCAGCAAAGTGTCAAAGTTTTGGTAGTTAAATTTCTTCAAGTGATGTCGCACAGCTGCAATCAGGGCTCTCTGTCTATCCTTGCCTCGAAGATATTCACCCGGAAGTCTGTTATGGATGAGATCACCAGCTCCTATTAAAGGGGGGAGGGGGGGAGGAGGGAGTCTTTTATCTCAATTTAAAGTCTGTTAATATTATTCCCATCCTAAAAAAGAGAGATCTGGCAAAGTCTGTGAATGAAAAAAAAAAAAACCTCATGCCTAAATCTGACATTATTATGCAGCATGACAGAAAACCCTTATGTATAAAAAAGTACATAAAGTAATTGATAAGACTTAATACTTCTGTTTTATGTGACTTCTCTGCTCAGTGAAAAAGTTCTAACAAAATGAATTTGGGCTGGGGTGTAGGGGGAGTGGAAAATCATCAGTCCTATTTGACTATCTTTCCTAGGACTTTAAGCCCTTGTCTCTACCTCTTTGCAGACATTTGCCTACAATGCTGAGGATCTGAAAGCTAGGACAGAGTCCATGTGGGGGCAACCCTATATGCCTTGAAGTTGACTAAACCTCTGGGATCCCTTGCAAAAATTGAACTCAAATACCCAATTCCCTCTAATATGAATTTCCAGTCTGCCTCCAGTATGCCTATCAAGCTCGCATTTCTCAGCCCTGCTTCCTGAGAACCACCACCTGCACACCAACCCTCACCCACAATTCTATTAACTGAGTCCCGACCCACAACCCCTCCGTTATCTGGAAGTAATAAACTCTCCAATCCACCTGCTACATCCCTCCAGGCCTGGCCCTTGTTTCCATTTATCATTGATGACTTAGGGGAACTTCCCCAGATTATGACACAAAGAAAGTACAAACATAGACACTGCTTGTAAGCATTCCTTGCCACTCCCTTTTGGGAAACATTCCTTGGATGTTAATGGTGACAGCGATCAGACTAGAGTTGACCATGTTGCTTCAGATGTTATGGCTTGGTAGATGTCACAAGAAGGAACCTTTTGCCTCAGTTCATTTTCTCCTGGCCTATACTCCTCCCTTCCTACTTTCTTGGGGCAGGATTATGTTGGCAGTTGGCTATGATATTCTAGATGGAATAATTTAAATCACTACATTTGTTGCAGTTTACGGCAACTAATATTTATACCTACTCTGTGTACGACCCTGTATTAGGCTCTGTCAAGAGTCTCTTTCAATAGATACCCGCTGCACCTCTAAGATTCTTACTTATTATAAAATCAGGAGCTAATCTCACATATTCTGATAAAAGTCACATTTTTACAGGTAGATAGGGGTGAGAAGCCCTCAAGAATGCTGGTTCCAGAAGCTGGGCAAGTGCCTCAGACCAAAACATCTGAAATGGAATCAGCTACCGTCAGATCATCCTGAAGTGGGCCAAACGCAAGCAAGGCTCTGTGAGAGGAAATCAAGACAGTGAGACCGATTTTTGACAAATAAGCATGGCTTCCTCTCCTCCTCCACATTCCTGCTTCTGATATAAACACTGTGGGTGGCTCTTGTGTATAATGGAGATCTTCCTTCTTCCACAAGATGGCTCTTGGTTGAGTTTTTATCTTCAGCGGCCTTCCCTCTCTATTAACATGCAAAAATAACCATCTGATTGGTTGTTTTTTCAACTCCACCTGGTTTTCCCACCATAATCCCACTAGGTGTAACTTCTGTTGAGTGAAATGTATACTGATATCTTCTTCTGGCTCTGCCCTGAAAGAATATGTTTGAAGCTCCTGTCATATTACTTGTAATTTTTCGAGTCATCTCTCTCTAGATAAAATCAAGAGCACAAGTGCTGGTCCTGGGAGACCTATGACCTAGCTACCACACCATGGCTGTCAGAAAAGCCAAGCAAGTTCTTTAATTGTACTCTGCCTGCAACCAATTCCCATTCAGCAGCACTGTCCACCGGTCCTGGAATTTCCTGTTACTTGCCTCTGCTCTGGTGCATCCTAGCAGCAGGCCACAGCCCTTGCACTCTTCCTGGAGGTTTCTTAACATAACCAATAACTCCAGGCCTTAGAGATGAGACATTCCTTGTACTGCTGCCTTTATTTCCATAAGTAAGTGTAAAGGAGAAATTGAGGCCCAGTTAAGAAATCAAGATGTTTCTAGAAGCAGCAGCTTTCTGCAGAATAAATGCTATCAGGTTTGTTGTTGTTTTTTTTTTTTTAAATGCTACCAGTTGACCCCAATGACAGTCACAAAAGGGGAGAACCGCAGTTAATCTTCATCCATCCATAAACTCCAGGAAAAGTCCAAAGAGGCCTCAGAGTCCCCTTTCATAGTTAAACTATGCAGCACCAGTGCTGCTATTGATACTTATATATTTTTTAAAATTATTAATGTCAGTGTTCTTCCTTTTCATTCTGTAACACTTTCTCATTCCATTTGTAGGGATAACTTTGATCCATTATTGGGAAATTTGTCAATGTTGTCAAATTGTCAAAATGATAAACCATGTGTTGGATTCACCAATTCATGCCATAAATATTTGTGAAAAATGTACTGTGTGCTAGACCCTGAGGATCCAACAGACAGTAAGACAGAGCACCCACCAGCATGAAGCCTCCCTCAAGTAAGCAGTATTTACCACGATGACCTATTTATTTTTTTAGGCCAGTTGATGGATTTCCTAAATCGTCTCTTAACCACTCTTACCGGTAAGACAGCCTCTACGATGAACAGGCATACATCAAACATGTAACAGTTCATCTGAAGACAGAACTGAAATACAGTCTCCTAATTAATGCAATTAGTGATAGTCTAAAATACTGTTTCATAAGCTCAATAAATATATATTTTGTCAGTGAGTGGGCTTCAGCTAAAACATTTTCAGTAGCCATTCTTAAACCTTAGCGTACACAAGAGCCTACTGGATCAGAATGTCTGGGCACAGCTATCAGGAGCCTGCATATTTAATAAATTCCCTGGATGATTTGAATGCAGGTGGACTACAGACTATGTTTTGAAAACCACTGGTACACAACCCAATCCTGATAAGCTTTAGCATAGTCTTCCCTTTGGATGTCTACCATATAGATTGCTTAGAAATAAAGACAAAATCCTGGCAAGTTTCTTCTGCCAATTTATAGCTTAACTGATTGATTGGCTGGTCGGAAGGGAGTGGTTCTTAATTCTGTGATCAAAGAGTACAATGGTTTCTCCAACTTGCATGTGCTTAGAATTAATCCGGGAACATCGTCAAATGCAGTTTCAGTTTCAGGAGGTCTGGCGTGGAGCCTGAGATTCTGTAATGCTAAGAAACTTACAGGGGACACCAACACGGCCAGTCTGCAGACCATGTTCTGAGTAACAAGGGCCTTTTTGAATTCATCAAAAAGCTGCCTCAAATCACCTTGGCTTATTTAATACAAGCCATATTTATTTTCTAAATAAAGTTCTGAGCCTTGACTACACTTTAGGTATTCATTCACAAAAGCTTTAAACTGTACCTATTTCAAACACGATATGAACATTTTTTTCTTTTTTGTGCTACAAACTGTTCATTGATGTTAATGTAACATTTGAAGCCTTTAAAATTAGAAGTTTGAAGGAAGGAGATGGTGAATTCAACCACATAACTTTGTGAGGATGTTATTGTTTTTTTAAGGAGAAAGTTTGTATATTTACCATACTCCTCAGCACGGAGACAAGCTCCAAACGTGTGGTCTGGGGGAACATTCATTGTTTCTGCAATGCTATCAAAGAAAACAAATCCTTTAGTTAAAATACTCACCACATGGCATCTCTGGAATTTAAAATATGCTTGCCATATGTTTTTAATAGCCTGTATTTCTCCTGTAACCAAACTATGAAGATCAAACAGAAGTTCTCCTGCCCATCTTCTGTCTAATCTTCCACTGCACAGGCAATACTTAAACACCTTCCCTGGCTTTCCAAAAGCCCCGATTTAAAAAGAAAATTAAGAACGAAACTCAAAGCAGAATATGGAAATAGAGACAGATAAGAAGACAAACAGAGACAGGGAAGAGAGAGAGAAAAAATGTAACATGGTAATTTAAATTTCTAACACCCCAGAAATAAAGCTTTAGATAAAATTCTCTTGCCCTCCTTCTCTGAATGCCCTCTTCATCTCAGAGGACTCAGCACCTTCCTAGAACCCCAGGCCCTAGAGAAGCTAAGAGAGTTCCCTGATGAACACAAAGGGATGACTTTCTTACTTAATGGATAGAACTTAATAAAAAACAAACCAACCTTTACCCCAAGAGTACTTCATCCAAAGACATTATCAATTTAAACAATTATTAACTTACGGGTCTAAAACTCTTCCAAGTTTATGCTGAAACTTTTCTTTGAAATCATCAACTCTTTTGGATACAATCTTAGCTCCTTTTTTCCTATAAAATTAGAAAACTGTCAAGCATTTCAATTACAAGGATTCCTGGCAGCCAAATACATATATACAATGAGGAATACCCAGCTGTCGTTTTTTTTTTTTCTTCTTATTATTATTTTATTTATTTATTTATTTATTTACTTTACTTTAGAGAGAGAGAGAGCACCAGTAGGGAGTGGAGGGGGCAGAAAGAGGGAGAGAATCTTGGGCAGACTCCATATCCAGCATGGAGACCCACATGGGGCTTGAACTCAAGACCCTGAGATCCCAACCTGAGCTGAAATCAAGAGTTGGACAGTTAACCAACTGAGCCACCCAGGTGCCCCTTGGAATACCATAGTATCATTTGGGCCATCAAAACATACACATAATTTCAAGAAAAGTTATATGCTAAAAAAAAAAAAAAGCTGTATACGTTCATTCTTCTATCACTTATATTCTATTATAAAGATAAGTTTACAATTGAATAAAACATTTGGTCTAAAGAATAAGACAAGCAGATTTAAAAATTTTTCAGTAAACAGGGGTGCCTGGGTGGCTCGGTTGGTTAAGCTAAGCGACGGCCTTCAGCTCAGGTCATATCCTGGAGTCCCGGGATAGAGTTCCGCATCAGGCTCCCTGCTTGGTGGGATGTCTGCTTCTCCCTCTGACCCTCCTTCTTCTCATGCTCTCTCTCTCTCTCTCTTTCTCTCTCTCAAATAAGTAAAATCTTAAAAAAAAACTTAAAATTTTTCAGTAAACAAAACCAAGGTGTTAGCCTCATCATCAAAAATGCAACTACTAAAATTTCTAGAAGAAAATTAAGCACCAAATAAGTAAATAACAGAAGGATATAAACAGATAATTCACATCTAGTAAGCAAACATATGGAGACTAATAAATCTTTAATAAAATAATAAGAAAGTGGTACTTTGAACACCGTACATAAGCAAATAGAGACAGACAGACAGAAAGAGAGAATACCCAACACTGATTGACACAGCGTATGATAAAACACTTGGTAGATTGCTTGTGCAAATTGCTATAATCCTTTTGGAAATAATTTGGTAATATGATTCAAAAAGCATAAAAATGGTCATTCCCTTTTATCTATGTCTGGGAACCAGTCCTAGGAAGATAATCCACACAATAATTTAAAATGTGGGAAAGTTATAGATATAAAAATGATTGTAGCCTCACTGACTACAAAGGAAAAAAAAAGAAGATAAATGTTTGATCATGGAGGGCAATTATGTCACATTAATAAGAATACACTTCACATGCATTTTAAATGTTAGTTATTAAGAATACACAACAATATAAAATTATTTTATGTTAAGTGAAAAAGCAGGATATAAAATAGGATTGTGCTCTGATTAAAGCTATTCAAACATTTACACAGGAAGCCACACTAGAAAGAAACACATTAAAAAGATAATGGTTGAATTTTGGTGACAAGATTATGGGTGATTTTATTTTGCCAATTTTCTGTAACATAATTTCATTACTTTTATCAATGTGATTAAATGAACAAGGTTTCTTTTGAGAACTGGAAAATTACAACACTACTATTTAATAACATTAAAATTAATAAACTCTCTATTGTTTTGTTAAGACTAAAAACAATGAACATTTAATTCTTAAACTCCATTTGCTTTTAAAACTATTTCCTCTACTATAGAAATACCGAGCTGAATAAATTTCCGGAGAAGAGTGACACTCTGTGGAGAAACAAAAGATGAAATACAAAGTAATTCATCTCTTCTGTCTTCATTTACTTCCCATGAGTTCAAAAAAGGGAAAAAAGAACAATATGGTATAGTTGCAATAAATCAATGGCAGTTTAAGGGCCATAATTTGAACAAATAAAGTTGATATTCTAAAATCCAGTTCCAAAGGCATAATTAAGAACATGCAGGGATGAAGCGGGGAAGGAATATAAGTCACAAAGCCTATTCCTTTTGCCCTAAAATTGCCTGGATTATGTTTCTGGGAGAAGTAGGACGTATCTGCAAGCAGTCATCTATGTCGAAATATCCATAACTGCAACATCATTGCACAGCCTCACAGCGTTCATTAAACAACTTGAAATAAAGGACTCCATGTGAATTATTTCAATCACACACACACTCACCTATCACCTGAAGATTCTGATTTATCAAACCAAAGGTTGTAGGAAGAGTACAGATAGAGGTAGCTTTACAGAGGAAATATGTCCCTTAAAAGTTGAGTGTAAACCAAGTTTACATAAAAATATAAAATTGAGATAACTTAAAATGTAAACATACTTAAGGGTGAATTAGTGAGTTCTTTTTTAAAGTTTTATTTATTTATTTGAGAGAGACAGAGTGGGAGGGACAGGGACAGAGGGAGAGGGAAAGAGAGAGAGAGAATCTCAAGCAGGTTTCACACTGAGTGTGGAGCCCAGAGCCTAGAGCCTGTTGCAGGGCTCAATCCCATGACCCTGAGGTCATGACCTGATCTCACAACCCTGAGATTATGACCTGGGCCAAAACCAAGAGTCAGACACTCAACACACTGAGCTACCCAGGGTGCCCCAGTGAGTTCTTTTTAAAATCCAGCAAACCAAAGCAATAAAGAATTATTGTTTTAGCAATAATTAAGTTTTGAAATATAAGAAGTGTGATCAAATAAAACATAGTTCCAGTAATAACGTTTCCTTGGGGATAGAAACAAGTTGGATGAAAATGAACCCTGAATATTACCTGCTTTTACAAATTCAGTGTATTTTTTTAATTTTGATATAATTGGCATATAACATTGCATTAGTTTCGGGTATTCTCAGTGTATTTTTCTATGACTATCCCACCAAAACATTGATAAATATGTCCTTGTTAATAATCTAACGGTTCTGCTCTTAAGATTTTCTTAAGGACCACATTATCAGGGCACCTGGGTGGCTCAGGTCCTGCATTGTGCTCCTGGGTGGCTCAGGTCCTGCATTGTACTCCCTGCTCAGGGGGAAGCCTGCTTCTCCCTCTGCCTGCCGCTCCCCCTGCTTGAGCTCTCTATCTCCCTCTCTTTCAAATAAATAAATAAAATCTATTTTAAAAAAAAAAGAACCATATTATTGTTAATGTGTTTATTTCAGGTCTTTTATAAATTGATAGCAGGTTTCTAAGTGGGATAAACCATATTTTGTTATCACCCACTAAGCATTAATTTCTATATTATATTTAATGATATTTATCAACAGTCCTTAAATATTTAAATAAATATTTAAATGACTTCTTCATTTTTCCTTTATATGTGGTTTAACTGCTTTAATATTAATCAGTTAACAAATATTTGTCGTATGGCCTCTTTTGTACTCCAAAGAAAACTATCTCATATGGGTTTAATAGAATATTATAAGAACTTACTTGGTGTTTGTGTTTTACCTTTATTGTTTTTGAATAATTCAAGTATTAGAAACTCATTTAATAAAAAAGTAGAAGAGGAATGGAAATCGATATTCTGTGATCACAGAATCCAGTGGCTATAAACCTGGTATAGTGGTTAGGGGCAGTCTCTGGAGCCACACTGCCTGGGTTTTATTCCTACCCCTAAGACTTCTTAGCTGCACACTATTGGGTAAATGATTTAACTTCTGTGGACCTCAGTTTCTTCATCTGTAAAATGGAAAGGATAAAAATTATAATGCACCTACCTCCCAGAGTTATTGGTAGGATTAATTCACTACTATGTAAAGCACTTAGCCCTCCGCATCTGTAACAGAGAGCTCCTATGACCGGGACCAGACAGACAAATGAGCCAGGAGTTTGGGTATCTGTGGGAATGCAGTCTTTACGTACATACTGAGACCCATGGAGTCTTGGATGGCCAGTGTCTCCTTTAAAGAGGGCAGAGGGCAAAACAAATCCACTCCCAGCACTGATGTGTAGAAGTGCAAGTGCAAGGTATAGGTTCCTGTGATTGCTGCAACAAATTCCCACAAACCAGTGACTTTAAACAACAAAAACCTTCTCCCACAACTCTGGAGGCCAAAAGTCAGAAGTCAAAATGTCAGCAAGGCTGTATTCTTTCCAAAGGCTCTAGGGGAGAGTCTATTCATTGCTCTTCCAACATTTGGAGGTTATTTGGCATTCTTTGACCTTTCTTGGGTTAAGATCATATCACTCCAGTCTCCTCCATGAACATCTCTATCACCTCTTCTCTATGTATTTTCCTCTTCTTTCTCAAATCTCCCTCCACCTTCCTTTATAAAACACTTATCACTGGATTTAGGGTCCCCACAGATAATCCAAAATGACCTCTTTATCTCAGGATTGTTAACTTAATTACACTTACAAAGACCCTTTTCATACATAAGGTAACATTCATAGGTTCTAGGAATTAGAATAAATATGTGTCTTTTTGGGGGGAGGGCACCATTCAAGTCACTACTTCAGTATTTCCAATCTTCTGATTTTTTAAGCACAGTAGGAAATAACGAATTTTTATTGCTAAACTCTCAATGCTTAAATATTGGCTTATATATACAATATAACACAGAAAATAAAAAATTAAGGAACTTCAATTTTCTAGGTAAGTAGTCATATATAGAATTAAGCCATAAAAGGTCACAGTTTGCAAGAGTTAAATCAGATACTCAGGTGCCCAAATAACTACTAAAAAAACTGAATGATAAATGACAGTACAATTGTATGTGATAAGATTGTCTTATAGAGATCAGAAAGCCGTGTCTTTAAGAAACATGAATGGGGTTGGGGTGCCTGGGTGGCACAGTGGACCAAGCATCTGACTCTTGGTTTTAGCTCAGGTTGTGATCTTGGGGTCGCGAGATATTGGGTTCATGAGATCAAGCCCCATGTTGAGCCCCACATTGGGTTCTGCGCTCAGCAGAGTCTGCCTGTGTTTCTCTTCCCCTCTCCCTCTGCCCACCCCTTCTAAAATAAATCTTTAAAAAAAGAAAAGAAAAGAAAAAAACATGAATAGGTTTGATTCCATAGATGAAAAACATACATCTATCTTCAGATCGCTATTTATAAAGGCATGAAGTAATTTAGAATGACATACATACACAGTATCATGGTTACCTCTGAAGAACTGGACATTTTGGAAGACATGCTACTATATATATTTTCCTATTAGTTTTATGTTTGAACCATGTCAATGTATTACACCCCTTAAAAAAATAAATTTAATCAACAACTCTTCTTTATTTTTTTTAAGATTTTATTCATTTATTTGACAGAGAGAGAGAGATCACAAGTAGGCAGGCAGGGAGGCAGGCAGAGAGAGGAGGAAGCATGCCCTCTGCAGAGCAGAGAGTCCGCTGCAAGGCTTGATCCCAGGACCCCGGGATCATGACCTGAGCCGAAGGCAGAGGCTTTAACCCACTGAGCCACCCAGGCACCCCAACAACTCTTCTTTAAAGTCCATGTGACATATATTTAGTACCTGTTTCAAGACCCAATATAATTAAACTTACATTTGTAGCTCATGGAGCCAATATAAAGTTTTTGCCATGGCTCTTCCATCATTAAAATGTGGTGTTGGAACCCCATACAAGTTAAACCTATGGAAACTTGATGGGTTATACTTTCGATTCTTTGCTTCTCCTGTGAACAAAAAGAGGAAGCAACACAAATAATCTTATCTTGCCAGAAGCACATTATGCTCTCATTGATGCTGAACATGAGAGTGGGAACTAAATGCAATTGTAACAGTGCCAGGATTGCACAGATTTGGCTACAGAGGACAAGCACCCTCCTATGTTAGCTGGGAGACTGGCAAGACAAGAGTTCCTGTGTTAATACTTGGTTAAGTAAGTCAAGAAATGATGTAGGAGAAAGACATATAAATAATGAAAAATTCAGGCCTCATTAATGTTACAGAAATCCTGAAGATCAGGGGAGGTACTGCAGTGCTTTGAGACCCCAGCTGTCCTTTCCACTCTGCTAAGATCTGAGAGGCTGTTGTTGTGTATTTGTTGTCACAGAGATTTGGTGAGATCATCAGAACATTGCAGCCCTCCCTTTTCATTATAATCACTTATCTCATATTAGGAATTGAAGCCTGAGAACCCAAAGGGAGGTCTTTATATTTAAGATCTAATACTGTACTTTTTTCAAGTCATGATGTAGTATTAGTTTTCTATTTTCTAGATAAGAAAAGTAAGACTAGGGGTGCCTGGGTAGCTCAGTCGTTGAGCGTCTGCCTTCGGCTCAGGTCATGATGCCAGGGTCCTGGGGTCAAGCCCAGCATGAGGCTCCCTGCTCAGCGGGGGGCCTGCTTCTCCCTCTCCTACTCTCCCTTCTTGTGTTTACTGTCTTGCTGTGTCTTTCTCTGTCAAATAATGAAATAAAATCTTAAAAAAAAAAGACTAAAACTAAAGATCAACTAAAAGTTTAAAGAAATGATGGAGATTCAGCCTCAATAGTAACTCAATGTAAATAAAAACAATAATGTGAAATCATAATTTGTCTCTCAGTTAAGTAAAAATAAAGAAGATGGGAAAGCTCACTATTAAGGAGGATGTGGAGAAATGCAAATTCTAATATACTATGGGTGTGAGGGCAAAGTGGGGCAAAGTGGGGCAGCTATTTGGGTGAATGGTTGACTCTAAGAGTAAATATTTCGAATGCTCATAAATCTAGGAATATATCCTTAAAAAATAGATCATATTCACAAAGATATATAGGCAAAGTTACTTGTAATACTGAAAAATATGGTATAGATAACTGACATGAAAATGCAACTAAGGTATTTCATTAAATAGGGGAAAAGGAAATAGAAAAAAGTATATGCAGTGGGGAACAAAACACACGTATATTCTCATATACAAACACACAAAGAAAGGCATCTATGAAAGTATCATCTGGGGGCACCTGGGTGGCTCAGTGGGTTAAAGCCTCTGACTTTAGCTCAGGTCATGATTCCAGGGTCCTAGGATCGAGCCCCACATCGGGGGTCTCTGCTCAGCGGGGAGCCTGCTTCCCTTCCTCTCTCTCTGCCTGCCTCTCTGCCTACTTGTGATCTCTGTCAAATAAATAAAATCTTAAAATAAAAAAAAAGTATTACCTGTGAAAGACTGGGAATTAAAGAAGATTTTCTTTGTATTTTAATTACTTGTAATGACTAAAGTTAAGTGTATTTAAAAGATGTTATATATTTATTGTTATTGAATGGTGCTCTTGACATAGTATTTTAAATAAAAAACATTTAATGTATAAGGCAGGTTCCCCAAAAGCATGGGGAATATCATCCCTCTTAAGTAAAGATAGATGGCTTATTGCATGCAGGTTAGAAAGATGTTCAATATATCAAATATAGTTATCTCTGGCTAATGGAATTTCAATGTTACATTTACTTTCTCTTTTTTTTTGAGATTTGTATGTATGTGTGTGTGTGTGTGTGTATTTGTTTTAATATTTATTTAAGTAAAGTAAACTCTACCCCCAATGTAGGGCTTGAACTCATGACTCCGAGATCAAGAGTCACATGCTCTTCCAACTGAGCCAACCAGACACCCCAAAGATTTGTTTTAAATAATTTCTACACCCAACATGGGGCTCAAACTTATATCCCCAAGATCAAGAGTTACAGGCTCTAACAGCTGAATCAGCCAGATGCCTGCCCCATTTTATCGAGATGTTTAAATTCTCTACAATTATTACATGTTTTATAATAAAAAATAAAGCTACTTTCATTAGGAGAAAAAACAAGGACAATATTAAAGAGATTGGATTCTGTGCCTTTTCAAGAGGCCAATGAGGCTTCCATAAAAACCAGCAAATGAAGGTAATGTCAGTCATTTGATAGTCTATTAGAGTTCTTTTAAAAATAAAAAAAAATCTATACTCATTTTCCTCCAACTGCTAAATGCATATAAGATATCTAATTACAGGTTGTCTACCTGTATTTTACAGGTTGTATTGAAAACAATTAAAAGTCATTGGATTTTATTGTGCAATACATACTAAACTTTTTCAAAAAATGATTAAGATATTTTCACAAGAGAGGGAGAGAGGAAAGGAGGAATAGGGGAGGGGAGGACTGAAAGGAGGAAAGGAAGAAAAGGAGGGAGACAGGGAAGTAGATGGGGTAACAGTGACTGGTGATGGAGTAAGGGGAAGCAGGAGCAGTGTGAATGGGAAAGCAAAGATAATCTCAAGACTGGATGTGTTCAAGTGTAGGGGAAGCAGGAAAGACTGGCCATGAAAAAAGAGAATGACAGATTCCAGACAGTAGAGCAATGGGCATAGGAAACAGCCCCAGCTATGAGCAGAATTAGGAGGAAGGGCACATAGAAGAACTATGGTTGGTGTGAGAGGATGGAGAAGGAGGAGAAAAAGTAAAGAATTAGAGAAAGAAAGGATGAGAGGGTCCTTGTGCTGCAGTAAAGGGCAAGTCTTGCTTCTAGCTAATGAGGATTGAGTTCATGAATCAATCACATACAATCCATTGGCTTTCTCAGGACATACATGAGTCTAATTCCCAATCTATTATATCAAGATTCCACTTAGCCTCAACATGTCAACAACTAAGTTGTATTTCATAGTAAACATCTAATGCCTTTTAGTTGTGCTATAGAACACTTCTAGTAATGAGCTGCATTAGACAAGATCACATAGTAGTAGTAGTAGTAGTAGTAGTAGTAGTAGTAGTAGTAGTAGTAATTGAGCCCCTACTATGTTCTAGGCACTACGGATGCATTTTGCAGGTACTCACCTAATCCTCACAATATTATTATCCCCATTTAAGAGATTAATGGACAAGCAAGTATTTGAAATTATTCTATCTGATTCAAAAAATTGTGTACTGACCATTACCCAATCTAAGTCCTTAGAGTAATCCTGACATTTGAATAAGAACAGTATTTTTTAAGCCTAAAACTAACATGTAACCTTTCTTAGATGTTTTTCCTTTTAATAATACATACATTTCTACATTTGATATACAAAATGTCTAAATATATGTGTTCCTAGTTATGAGGGTTTATGACCTTATGAATAAGTTACTATTTACTGATCACTTATTATATGCCAGGCATTACTTTATGCACATAATCTCTTTTATTCCTCTTCGCAAATCTGAGAGTCCTACATCCTCAGGTCTGTTTTACACAGGAAGACACTTACCCACATAATAATCATTGTGAGAAACAATATACAAATCATGTCCTTCCTTTCCTTCCTTAAATACTTCTTTGTAGGATTTTGGTGGATTCACCACATCTCTAGCAGGTGAGTCTGAAGGAAGAATTAATGAAATCAGTTTTAAGGTAGATTTTATCTATTTATAACATATTTAAATTGACCAGAACAAATGACAATGAGGTATGCCAATGACACAAACTACATGGGCATTCTGAGAGAACACAAATGAAGATTTAGCAAGAAAGACAGGACACCACCTGCATGTTACTGTCCTAGGGATCCCCACTTGACCTGGTCACTCCCTCGAATTCTAAAGAATATCCGAACTGTGTATTGGCTAACTATTTAGGTTATTCTGAGCTGTATTCCAAGCCTGGTTAAATTTTCTGATTCTGAGACGCTCAGGACGATTTTGATTTTAGTTTGCTCCAAACTTCCCAAAATGTTCTAAGCAAATTTGAATCACAGTCAGTTTCAGAAACACTGATGCCTTGTGGGAATAAATTTGGTGATAGCTGTAGATTGAAGCATATACCCCAAGTCTGTTTTGATTTGAGTATCCATCTTCAAAGTAGCCAAAAGTGCTAGGGAAAGCACTGGAATCAGGAAGAAATTCTTCCTACTGATCCCAAACCTAGAGCAATAAGTTATTTGTTTAATAGCTGCCTTCCCAAGACTGGTGGACCCTAGTTTTATATACTGTGAATTATTTTGTTTTTATTGTTTATGTAATGATTTTTAAATATAATTCCATTCATAATTTCATTCTTCTCTTTCAACCCAATAACATAGATTCAGAAGTTTTCTTTCTTTTGGACTTCTGCTAAGACTTGGGGTCTGTAAACAAATATTTAAGAATACTAGAAAGTGGGTCAACTCAAAATAATCCTGTAAAGCAGTATTTTTTGTCTAATATATGAACTATTACACCTATGAATAGACAGATAACACGTTTTGGAACATTCCTTCTATTATACATTTAAATGAGGTGCACCTTGACAGTACTTTCTTATTAAATGGTCCAATCCTAGATAGCAGTTATGATATAATTACTGTAATGCTGTAATGCCATGTCTACATATATACAATTTTAAAATCCTATTATAAAATAAAAAAGATACATCATCTGCTCTAAAATACATTTTTTAAAGTTTTGAACTTTAACTAATTTTAACTTTAGATCTTATATGATCAAGTTGTAGACTTTGAAGATTTTACATCCCGAGAGAGGCATAATTTATCTCCACAGTGGTGACACTATGTTAAAGAACATAATCTAATGGACCTTTTGGTGAAAAAAAATGTAAGATTCCTGAGGTAGAGCCTTAATGGGTGCAGAAAAACAAAGAGAACCAAATTTCTTTGCAGGATAAAGAAAAATGGAAGTTGAGGTCCCCTTTGGTAAGACCACTAGAGAGAGAGAGAGGAAGAGACATAAAAAAGAGAGGAGATAAATGTGAAACAGGTGGAAGGAAAAATGCCCAACAACATGGCAGAAGACTGGGGCTTCAGAAGAAACAATGGCCTGTGACCAATTCCATTATAAGTTGTTGTTCATTGAAAGATGCACTCTACTTCCTCTCATAATGAGAGTGAAGTTCTGCTCTACGAGCTGCCTGCATTTGGCATATGTGGGTAGACACTATGGATCTGCTCAGATGGAGAAAAGTACACAGCATTTGACAAACTTATTTGTTCTGTGGTCTGCTTCATAGAGTTAAGAGTTATGAACACGTCAGGGTTGCCGGGTGGCTTAGTTGGTTAAGCCGCTGCCTTCGGCTCAGGTCATGGGTCCAGGGTCCTGGGATCGAGTTCCACATTGGGCTCCTTGCTCGGCAGGAAGCCTGCTTCTCTCTCCGCCTCTGCCTGCCACTCTACCTGCTTGTGTGCTGGCTCTCTCTCTCCCTCTCTCTCTCTCTCATTCTCTGACAAATGAATAAATAAAAATCTTTAAAAAAAAAAAAGTTATGAACACATCAGAAACATTGGTGGAGATAAAACACATAAATACATGTCCAGGGAGAAGGGATTGAGGACTTCATAGCTGGCTCCAGTATCAACTTTCTTGAATCTCTCTCCCGTCTCTTTATACCATCTCTATTATACTCATTGCATCTGTTTCCAAAAGCTGAATTTTTGCTGCCTTGGTACACATCAACTCTAAGGATTCTGGATCTGAGAGTCATTTTCTTGCTATGAATCATCATTTACACCACCAGCAAGTGCCGCATCAACAAGATATTTAATCCCGTTTTCTAAGAAGACATTGATTTTCCTTTTTTCTTTTCTTTTTTTTTTTTTTTTTGGAAGACATTTCACCATCCAACTCCCCATCACTTTTTTACTACCTCTGATGACTGTTGTCCCAAATGTTGTATTGAGCACATCCAGGCCTTTAGGTAATCCCGGCATTTGATCATGAGATTTTCCTAGTGGTGCCCGTTGATTGCTAAAATATACTGATTCCTTTTTATCTTTAAGTTTCTGTTGAAATGTTGTTATAGGCTGTGGGTTGATCAATACCTTTGCCTAAAGAAATCATATAAAGCACAGATATAACAACAAAAAAAAAAGCAGAAAACTGAAACTAATCCATAGCTGGGGAGAAGAGGAAAGGGATTGTGGAAAAACATTTAATTATCCTTGCCTTTGCTAATCTCTTCAAATCAACTGTCAGCATTGGAGCTATGTAGCGAAACATGCCCTACATGAACTTCACTGAGGCCCTAAGGTTTATAAGAAGAATGCCCTGGTTATTTGATGCGGATTCTAGAAAAGCCGAAATGACAAGTACAAGAATCACTCCATTACCACAAGTGCTCTCCAGAGGTACAGATTGGGTCTTCAGAATCTAGACTGCGCAATTAACACAGGTAACAGTCAGCCCACTCCCCCAAATTCTCTACAAGCACTCCGCTGGGCCTCGAGGTTCTATCACCCAGCCTTCATCCTCTCCGTTCTCTAACAAAGCCTGACAGCATTTCTCTTTACCCTGAGAAAATGGAGTGCAACTTGGCTTGTATTATCTGAGGTGAAAATATGTAGATTGTCTCTACAATCTAATTTCTCTACAGTCTCTTGGTTGTTGCTGCTTGGATTTTTTTTCACTACTCAAAAGTAAGAGTGGGAAGGAAATTGGAACTGATGATTTCATTAATACCTCATTCATGCATTTTCACCTTAGTAAGTTAATAATGTACAGGGAATAAAGGAAAAGAAGTTACCGGTATTGAAATTTTAGATCTTATTCCATGTGTCAAATAAGGAGCAATTTGGGGATCCTTTGCTCTACCATAAAATACTCTTTCAGCTCCAGCAGGTGGATATCTATAGTTGAAAAATTTTTTTGCCTCAGGTGGAGTAATTAGCTATAGTGAGACAAGAAAATAGAATTAAGAACAGTTTTTAAAATATTAGGATTAACCTATCCCAATCAGTGAACACCATTGCATGAGTGTAATAAGTACATGGGGAACTACAGACCCATATAATGAAACTTCCTAAAATGTGTTTTATAGAAATGAATGTCATATTTCAAAAGTTATATCTAGAAAACGACCAAGAAGTACCCAGGTTAAAAAGCATACCATAAATGACTATTTTCTATAGAAATAAAAGGTATCTCCAGTGGTTTTTATACAGCTAAAAATTGTAAGCCTGGAGTTTTCACTTCCTTGAACAAAATCATTAGAAGTTCTCAAAATACAGTAAAGAATAAAAATTGACCACATTAAGTTTATACAGCTTTCTTAAGGAGCATTGAGAGTTAGTTGTCTTAAGAGACAAGAGACAAACCTAAGGGTTAACAAAAATGCCTATTGAAAATGCTCACCCTGGGAAGTTTTTCAGTCAAACAGGTTGCAACTCTGTCTCCAACAGGAATAACTTTTCCTGCCTAAGGGGAGAAACAAACAAACAAACAAACAAACAAGTAGTTGGTCATTGTCAGGAAAGAGGGGGAATATTTTGAAGAATGGCATTTATTTTGAATCTTGCCTATGCATCTAATGCTAGAAAGTTACTTTCAATGGTTTAACACAATTAAGAAAAAGATGCAATACAGCAAATCTAAAGTAATCCTGATTTATAATACAAACATTAAAGCTAAATATATATAAGTATACCTTTTTTACAGTGCTAGCTTTGTCAGTGATTCCATCCAGTTATGGGATCTCTGTGACATGCTGAGGGAGTCAACTTTCAGAAATAATGTTTATCAGTTGTATTATGTCATCAGTACAATGGGAGTATGGCTGTGTTCAAGCTAAATTCAAGATAAAATGTTAGGTACTTCTGAGTGTGTATGTGTGTGTGTGTGTGGTATGTTTGCATATGAGTTTATTTCCACCAACACCCTAACTTTTCACATAGGCAAATGTGTCACTTCTGGCCAAGCTCCTTCAGTGAATGGCTCCAATGCACTTGGTTTCCTTCACTTAATTGTTTTTTAGACTTCTTTTTTTTAAAGATTTTTATTTATTTATTTATTTATTCATCAGATATAGAGAGAGGAAGAGGGAGAAGCAGGCTCTCCGCAGAGCAGGGACCCCCAAAGTGGGACTCGATGCCAGGACCCTGGGACCATGACCTGAGCCAAAGGCAGCCACTTAACCCACTGAGCCACCCAGGCGCTCTCCTTCACTTAATTCTAACTCGGGTCTTATCTGTCCTTCCTTTGCCCAAGGCAAAGATTACAATTATTCCCAGCAATGCACTTTTTATCTATTTCTCCTTTGTCATTTCAAGGCAGCTGATCTTTACTTCTGGAAAGGATAAGTTTTGGGTTTTTTTAATTAACATATAATGTATTATTTCTTTTGGGGGTACAGGTCTGTGATTCAACAATCTTACACAATACACAGCACTCACCACAACACACCTTCCCCAATGTCCATGACCCAGCCACTCCACCCCATCATCCCCACCCCTCGAGCAATTCTAGTTTGTTTCCTAGGATTAAGAGTCTCTTGCGGTTTGTCTCCCTCTCTGGTTTCACCTTATTTTATTTTTTCCTCTCTTCCCCTTTGATCCTCTGCCTTGTTTCTTAAATTCCACAAATCAGTGAGATATATATAATTTTCTTTCTCTGATTTACTAAGCTAAGTAATTAGCTCAGCATAATACCCTCTAGTTCTATCCACATCATTGCAAATGGCAAGATGTCATTTTTTGATAGCTGAGTAGTATTCCCTTGTGTATATATACACCACATCTTCTTTATTCATTCATTGGTTGTTGGACATTTAGGCTTTTTCCATAGTTTGGCTACTGCGGACATTGCTGCTATAAACATTGGGGTGCAAGTGCCCCTTTGGATCACCACCTTTGTTTCTTTGGGGTAAATACTGAGTAGTGCAATTGCTGGGTCAGATGGTAGCTATATTTTCAACTTTTTGAGGAACTGTTTTCCGGAGTGGCTGCACCAGCTTGCATTCCCACCAACAGTTTAAGAAGTTTCCCCTTTCTCTCCTGTGTGTGTGTGTGTGTCATATATATACACATATATAATAATATATAATATATAACAGAATCTATAATGGAATATTACTCAGCCATCAAAAGAATGAAATCTTGCCATTTGCAACAATGTGGATGGAACTAGGGGGTATTACACTAAGTGAAATAAGTCAGAGAAGGACAAATACCATATGATTTCACTCATGTGGAATTTAAGAAACAAAACAAATGAACATGGGGAAGGGAAGAGAAAATAAGATGAAAATGGGGGGGAGCATAAGTGATGCTTCTGTAGGAAATAAAATGTAGGAAATAAACAGGATTGCTGAAGGGGAGGTGGGTCAGGGGAAGGAATAATTCAATGATGGGCATTAAGAAGGACACTTGATGCAATGAGCACTGGATGTTATATGCAACTGCTGAACAACTAAATTCTATTCCTTTTTTTAAAAAATTCTATTCCTGAGACTAATAATAAAGTATATGTTAACTAAATTGAATTTAAATAAAGAATTTTTAAATACCCTGATAGCTAAACCAAAAAATAAATAAATAAATAAAATAGGTTGCCTGGGTGACTCAGTTGGTTAAGCGTCTGCCTTTGGCTCAGGTCATGATCTCAGGGTCCTGGGATCAAGTCCAGTATTGGGCTCCCTGTTCCACAGGGAGTCGGCTTCTCCCTCTTCCCCTCCTCCCACTCATTCTCTCAAATAAATAAAATAAAATAAAATAAAATAAAGTCTTCAAATAAATAAAATTTGAAAATTAAAAACTAAGGGAAAAAAAACTTCCCATAATGAGTATTTTGGGTCTTCGGAGGAGCATGGAGAAATCAGGATGGAAAAAAGCAGAGAGATTAACAGTTGGGTGGATGGATGAATGTGTATTTATTTATTTTAACAGATATATTAAATAAATGGATGGCTAGATGAAAATATAGACACATGAGGTGTCTGCATATGTCCAACTCTTGGTTTTGGTTCAGGTGGTGATCTCAGGGTCATGAGATCCAGCCCCATATTGGGCTCTGTACTCAGCTCAGAGTCTGCTTAAGATTCTTTCTCCCTCTCTGTTTGCTCCTCCCCCACCCTGAATATGCTCTCTCTTTCCCTCTAAAATAAATAAACCTTTTTTAAAAACTGTATAGGGACACCTGGGTGGCTCAGCCGGTTAAACACCTGCCTTTGGCTCTGATCATGATCCCAGGGTCCTGGGATCACAGTGGAATCCTTGCTCAATGGAGAGCCTGCTTCTGCCTCTGCCTGCTATTCTCCCTGCTTGTGCTTGCTCTCTCTGACAATTAAATAAAATCTTAAAAAAAAAAAAAACCCTATATAAAGAGACACATGGATATAGATGGGATTGTGGAAGGTTTTTATTATGTTAAGTGTTGAGTGCAGAATTCCTCTTAGGGGAAGAACCATCGGTTTAAGAGAGTATCTAGATAACATCTCCGGGTATAAAAGAGGAAGCTCACAGACATGACTAGACAGAGAATTTAACTGCTTTGCTAAAAAGTAGGTAAAAATATGAACTATTGGGGTGCCTGGGTGGCTCAGTGGGTTAAAGCCTCTGCCTTTGGCTCAGGTCATGATCCCAGGGTCCTGGGATCGAGCCCCACATGGGGCTCTCTGCTCAGTGGGGAGCCTGCTTCCTCCTCTCTCTCTCTGCCTGTCTCTGCCTACTTGTGATCTCTCTCTGTCAAATAAATAAATAAAATCTTAAAAAAAATGAACTATTGATGGGCTAGACTAAGGAACGAAGGGGTAAAGGAAATAATAAATAAGACCGAGGAGAAGGTGGGAGGAAGAAAAGATCTTGAAGCTAGTGAGAGGCCAGGAGGCATAAGACAAGAAATCAGCCAATGAGAAGGAGTCCAACTTTAATGCCAAATCTTAAGTAAATTTTACTCATAAACTACACTATGTGAAAAAAAAACTTGCATAAAAAAGGATAAGGACTGTGTTGTAAATTGGGTTAAAGCAGAGTACAGAAAAGGGAAGAGATATACAAGTGATTTTTTAATTCAGCTAAAAATTGTAAGAAATCTCAGAAATCTCATGAAACATAAAGTCTCTCCCGCTATACCTGTTATGGGAGCTCCAGCCATTCTTTTAAATATTCAATGGAAAGATGGCCTCATTAGGCTGAAGAACATGGGGATACTCAGGCAGCTATTTATGTGAGTGATAGAGAGATAGAAAGAAGGATGGATTGATGGATGGATCAATCAGTCTGTGGCCTGTTGGGTAATTCTACTTGGCTGTCACTGGCTTCCCTTCCAAATGTTTGACAGTAGATAATCTTGGTTTTCATCATTGTAAACATTTTTTGGACAGAAATGCCCTTAGAATTCCTCACAGACTTGCCCACATGAAAGCAATTTGACTACAAATCAGCAGGACATCAGATGTCCTTACGCCATTTGACTGGAGACACAAAAATGGAAGCCATTATGTCTGATTTCTATCTAGAGTGTCATAATAGGTCTGACAACTCTCCCTCAGCCCACCTCAGTCATGGATCTTTTTTGATTTCAGTTGTTCTCAAAGGCCTATTCACCAATTTGAGGTATGAAGGGTAGCAGAATAAAGATTATTGTGAGCTGATTATTCTAAGAAACAGCAGATGAGAAAGAAGTGCTGAAAACAAGAGTAGAAGTTACCCTTTCATAAGGGATATTTACATTTTACAAAGGAAATTATTTGTAAAGGTATCTCCCTCTCTGTACCAGGAAGAAAAGAATGACTCTAAGTCTCCAGTCCTTTCAATGGCGAAGGCTGACTTAAATCTGCAAAACAAATTTTACCCTTGTTTACCAGCATTCTCCTGGCAACTCCCCAAAACTTGACTTCTCTTTGCCCCAACATCTTTCTTTTGTCTTTAACTTAAGATGGTATTTAAGGAGGTGGCTTGGGCCATCTCGGGGAGTTAGTCAGTCTTTCTGGGTATATTCCATGTATTCATGAGGTATATATATTTTAAAACTTCTGTTTGTTTTACTCTTGCTAATCTGTCTTTTATAACATTCAATTGATATACTATTATAGAATCATTTAAAATGATGTATATAAATAATTTTGAATGGTATAAAAATGTTCATGACAAAATGGGAATTAAAACAAAGATGTAAATTTGCATGATACAAATACACAGAATCACACCTCTATATGCAGCAGTAGGTACAGAATAAATAGACAAAAATTGCCAGTTGTGATTCTGCTTGAGAGGTGAGATTACAAGTGACTTATTTTGGTTGTACTATTCTCAATATTTTATTACTATGTATTGCTCTTTTATAAAGCAAAAGAAAACAATAAAATTACCAAAAAGTCTATAACCAACATCAACTAGAAGAAAAACAGCAGCAAGAGCACTAGAAACTAAAAATGATAATCAAGTACATCCAGACCCAAGACAGAATTTAGGAGCAGCTTT